CCCCAGGCCTCAGTGGTCGCTCTGTTCCGCGACTACCATCCAGAAAAGTTTTCCGGCCAAGGAGATTCTCATGTGGTAGATGAATGGGTTCAGGGTCTCGAGATTATTTTTGAGGTCATGAACTGCCCTGATCGTTATCGCATGTTATGTGCCCAGATCCAGCTGACCGGTGATGCCAGACTCTGGTGGCAAGCCTATTGGAGTATGCGTCCCGGTGAGAAAGACGGTTGTACGTGGGACCAGTTCAAGGAGTTGATTCGAGAAAAGTATTATCCCTCGTATTACCGAGCAGACATGGAGCACCAGTTCTTGGCACTCACCCAGGGTACTCGTACTGTCGACGAGTACGAAAGAGAGTTCACCCATCTCGGAGCCTTTGTACCTGATCTTGTGGGTACGGAGGCGAAGAGAGCCCACCGTTTCACCGACGGACTTTGCCCAGCAGTCCGCCACAACATCGTAGGTCACGGTGTCCAGACCTACGCCCGCGCAGTTGCCATTGCACAGGAAGTTGATGCTAGTATCCGACGTGAAGCTGTCCAGACATCAGCCCAGCTAGTTGCTCAGCCACCAGCCCAGCCCAAAGTTGCCCAACCGTCAAAGAACCAGAAGAAGAGGAAGTACAGAAACACTCTTGATGACCGGAGGACCCGTCCCAGACAATATCCAGAATGCCCAACCTGCGGGAAACACCATCGTGGAGAATGCCTCGTGGGCCAGAATGTTTGTTTCTTTTGCCGCAAGCCAAGTCACTTCAGCAACAACTGTCCAGAACGACTACAACAACAACTACAACAACGTCAACCGCCACAGCAACCTCAACAACAGCAACTTCAACAACAGCAGCCCAGGCAGCAACCACCACGACAACAGCAACAACAACGCGGCAGACAGCAGGCCCGCGACTTTGCAGTTGACCAGAGGGAGGCCGACCAGCACCCAGGTACCATGTCCGGGATGATTATTCTTAATGATGTGCCTGTCTATGCCTTATTTGATACGGAGCGACCCATTCTTTTATATCACGTCGATGTCTCGAAGCTATTGGGGTTCGTTCCACTACTGTTGTCGATCCTCTCGAGGTGAGTTTAGCCTCGGGAAGAAAGATAGTGACTGACGCTAGAGCCACCGATCTCAGCCTTTCCATCGGCGGCCATATTCTAATTACTGATACTTATGTTATCGAGATGAGGGATTTTGACCTCATACTCGGTATGGATTGGCTAACTCGATTTCAAGCAGATATTCGATGTTACGACTGGAAGATTACTCTTTATCTTCCGGGAGATGATCAAATCACTTATTACGGCTCCAGGACTCGTACTCTGCCACATGTTATTTCTATGGCGAAGCCAGAAAGATTCTTCGACGGGCTGATTGCCAGGGTTATCTTGTAAGCCTCGTTGGAGATAAGCCAAAGACACGTTCACCTCATGATATTCCTATCGTTCGTGAGTTCATGGACATATTTCCTGACCAGCTTCCCGGAGGTCCACCTTGCCGACAGGTGGAATTTTATATTGATCTTATCCCTGGAGCCGGACCCGTTTCTAAGGCACCGTACAGAATGGCGCCTAAAGAATTGCAGGAATTGAAGACCCAAATTCAAGAGTTGCTGAATCTCGGTTTTATACGACCGAGCTTTTCTCCTTGGGGAGCACCAGTCCTTTTTGTAAAAAAGAAGGACGGATCCATGCGTATGTGTATCGACTACCGGGATCTTAACCGGTTGACGATCAAGAATAAATATCCACTTCCCAGGATTGATAATTTATTTGATCAGTTGAGGGGTGCCTGCGTGTTTTCCAAGATTGATTTGCGTTCGGGCTACCATCAGCTGAAATTCAAGGAGTCAGACATACCCAAGACAGCTTTTCGTACGAGATACGGTCATTTCGAGTTTGTGGTTATGTCGTTTGGCCTCAGTAATGCCCCGACAGTATTCATGGACTTGATGAACCGTGTATTTCATCCTTTTCTCGACCAGTTCGTTATTGTCTTCATCGATGATATTCTTATTTATTCCAAGAGCCAGAAGGAGCAGGAGGAGCACCTGAGGGCCGTTCTTTCGACACTTAGACGCGAGAAGTTATATGCAAAGTTCTCCAAGTGCGAGTTTTGGCTTCAGCGAGTGGCTTTTCTTGGCCACATTATTACTTCAGCAGGTATTGAAGTTGATCCTTCTAAAATTGCTGCAGTCCAGAATTGGTCAGCACCAAAGAATCCGTCCGAGGTTTGTAGTTTCCTCGGCCTTGTAGGTTATTATCGCAGGTTTATTGGGGGGTTTTCGAAGATTGCACTCCCTTTGTCTCAGCTGACGAGGAAGTCTGTAAAGTTCGAGTGGACAGACCGTTGTGAGTCAAGTTTTCAGGAGCTGAAAAGGAGGCTTACGACGGCACCGGTGTTGACTATTCCAGATCCTTCTCGGAGCTTCACCATTTATAGTGATGCTTCGAGGCAGGGTTTGGGATGTGTACTTATGCAAGATGGCCAGGCTGTTGCTTATGCGTCACGCCAGCTTAAAACACATGAGCAGAACTATCCGACGCACGACTTGGAATTAGCTGCAGTTGTTCATGCCCTCAAGATTTGGCGACACTATCTATACGACGGTCAATGCGGAATCTTTACTGATCATAAGAGCTTGCAGTATATCTTTACTCAAAAGGAGCTCAACATGAGGCAACGCCGTTGGTTAGAGCTCGTCAAAGATTATGATTGTACAATCCAGTATCATCCGGGAAAGGCGAATGTTGTTGCTGATTCCCAAAGCCGCAAGGTGAAGGGTGACTTGACATACGTTGTTACTCAGCAGAGTCAGTTGATTCATGAGTTCGCCCAGATGCAGATCCAGCTGGTTGATGCACTTCCTACAGCCAATTTGGGGAGTGTGAATTCCATGCAGGTTCAGCCGATGCTGAGGGAGAGAATCCGGCAAGAGCAGGCTTCAGATGAGTTTATTCGTACGATTGATGCCATGGTTCGTGCCAGAGGCGTCGAGGGTTTTCACCTAGGCACTGATGGGGACTTGGAGATTTG